AGAGCTTTAAGAAAGAAAAAACCAAAAACAGTGCCCAAACCCCACCCCTACAGACTCCAACTTAATTGTTTTGGTGTGGAACCTGGCATCAGTAATTTTAGAATGTTCCTCAGGTGATCCTAGCATCACTGCCCACAATGAACCATGGGGAGCCATTAAGGTGTTAGCTAAATCCTACATTCTCAGAACTAGTTTATAAATGACAAGATGAGAAAGCACATTAACTGATTTGCATGGGTTCCATATAGCAATGATAGGGTCAGAAATGTTACATAGAACCACATAAAAGACCCAATCAAGAAATAGACTAGAGGAATGAACAGACACTTCACAGAAGAAGAAATACAAGTGGCCAACAAATATACGAAAAAGTGTTCAACATCTCTGGCCATTAGAGAAATGCAAATTAACAGCAAGACTCCATCTTATTCCTGAAAGAATGGCAATCATAAGGAAATCAAACAATAACAAATGCTGGCATGGCTGTGGTAAAAAAGGAACTTTTCTATATTTTTTGCTAGGAATGCAAACTAGTACAACCATTATGGAATTCAGTATGGTGATTTCTCAAAGAATTGAAATTAGAAACTCCTTACAACCCAGCTATCCTCCTGTTAGGTATCTTCCCCAAAAAGCTTAAGTCACCATACTACAGCATTACTTGTATACCAATGTTTATAGCAGCACAATTTGTAACAGCTAAATCCTGGAAGCAGTCTGTATACCCAATCAACAGATGATTGGATAAAGAAAATGTGGTATCTATATATAATGGAATACTACTTGGCTATAAAGAATGACAAATATGAGGCATTTGTAGGAAAATAGATGCACCTGGAAAACATAATGTTGAGTGAAATAAATCAGACAAACCAGCACGTATACCATATGGTATCCCTCTTTTGAGTGAGGCAAAGTACAAACAAAGAAAATGATAAAAGATGGGCAGAAAGGGACAAAGGGACAGATCTCGTCCAATAGGGAAATGGACCAAGGGAACAAGGAGAGAGGAAAGGGGGAAGGGAAAGGGAAATGAGAAGAATAAAGATATGCCATGTACAGGAGCCTAAAAAGCCTAATCAATGTAAACATTATAAGATGTAATATATGCTAAGACAAATAGTATACACAGGTATGAAAAAGGTGATTGGGGAACCAGGGATGGGGGGAGAAAAGGGGATTTAAAAATACTGTAACATGTACATGTAACCACTCCCCAAGATGACTGTAAACAGCGTGAATTACAAACCTGTACTAATAAATAAAATGAAAAAATATTACATGGAGAAAGCTGAGGAATATGAGCCCAACTGAGTGACTTAAGAAGAAGTAGGAGTGTCTGATTCTGGAGGGGAACAGGATATTATGATATTAGGATATGAGTAAGCAGTAGTGACTGAGCCCATTGCTAGCCTGATCCAATGGGTTGTACTTTTTCCTTGCTTACCTCAGGATCTGTCACATGCAAATTGGGAGATGTGAGGAGATGCTCATAGCATTGTTACTCTTGAAAGTATAGAAGTTTCCAGAGAGAAAAATGAGAAGACCTCTTTTTCCTTTTGTATTTTCCCCTTTATTGTTCAGAATGCCAAGATATGGATTCCTCACACAGCTAGGAAATAAATAGTTGAAAAAGGAGCCCTAGGATCACTTCAGCACAAGGAAAGGGGGAAGGTTGGGGAACAGGTAGGTGAGTAGGGTGAAGAAAAAGAGAAAGGGGGTCCAAGAAGGAAGAAAGATCAGCAGAGAAAAACTGTTAGTGTGGCCACCTGGCAGTGCACACTGGTGAGAGAAACAGGGGAGGAAACCTCATGGAAGAGAGCTGCCCCTGGGTTCCCCTGAGAAAAAGGACCCATGACAGCCTCGGGCCTCCAATATGTGCTGCATCGGCTCACATTTAGAGAGTTAGTGATAAGCACCATGAAGTCCTACCTTATGCAATCAGGGTTTAGGGCTGGGGTCTGTATGAATATTACAGCATTAGAGAAACTTTCTTAAATGCCAGGGGCTCCTGAGTACCATGGGTGGATTCAAGGGGTTTGAGGTGGTCTGTGTTTCGTGGGAGATCTGTTTATGCTCAGAAGTCACAAACTGTCAGTCCGCCTGACCCTCAAACATGTATTTTTGTCCTACACAATTTTTTTAAATTATTGAAAATTTTGGTACTTAAAGGTCAAAGGCTTAGAAACAAACACCGAATGATCTGCAAACACCAGGCTTGTATCCTCTGGGAGACAGATCTGGAGCTGGCCCCTTCCTTTCCTCTCTCCCTTTCTCTCCCTTCACCAATTCACAATAGTTTATCAAGGACTTGGTTTTACTTTCTTAAGTCCAAGATGAGTAACTTAATTGTTCCCTTATATATTTGTGTGCCCAGGTTCTCCTTGCATTAGATTTCCCCAAAGGCTGAGAAAAGATCTGAGTCTTGGATTAAATGTAACACTTTCTTGACTCATTTTGCTTTTTGAATACCATTAGTTTGGTTGTCCTTCAGAGCTATCAAATAATTTGTCTCCAAATGAGCTGGTCTGAATTTCATTCATAAGCTGGAGCTCTAGGTGACTATGCTGATTAATAAGCCATGGTGTCTCGGCTCAAATCAGCTTTTCTTTTCTCTGCACTGAGATGCTGGGTCAAGACTCATCAAACTAGTCTGCCTTGTCAGCTGCTTCCTATTAGGCTCTGCCTAAAGTGAGGACCAGGGAGTGAGGGGAGACAGGACAGCAGAAGAGGTCCTACTCCTTCCACTTTGTCATGGTTTCTGCAAGCATTGCCCCAGCAGAAATAACCCTCTCCCCAGAAGCAGAATTGAGGGTTTCCAAAACCTTTCCCACAGTCATAGAAACCTCTGATGGTGTCCTCAGGAGTATTGTGCCAGCTCCTCAAGTCTGAGATCCAGTGCTCTGGAGCCTCTTCTCAAGATCCTAGGTTCTGGTAAACCCAACTCTTTGTTCCCCAGACCCCAGGGAAGGTAGCCGCCTTCCAAAGTTACCATCGTTGAGGTAAGTCTTTAATCCTCAGACTCTGTTTAGTCATTTCCTGGTAACTCAAACTTGAGCTTGAGCTAGAATTCCAGAAGGGTGTGTTAAAATACACTTGACTAGCCTGCACCCAGAGTTTCTTATTCAGACACTCTAGGCTATAACCTCAGAGTTTGTTCTGCTACCAGATTCCCAGATGCTCCAAACACTGCTCATCCAAGGACCCCCACCAGGAGAGCCACTACCTTATGGTATATTCCTCTATTGAAATAGAATACAGTTTTCTAGCTAGACCCTAGTTGACACAATGCTCATCACTACAACAGCACACCTCCTGGATCCACCACTTAGGTTTTAGATATTTGGTGGGAGGAAGTAATCCCAACACTCTCTAACATGGGCCTCCACACAATGTTGAGTTGCTATCTTGATCTGTCAGTCCATAGCCTGTACCTCTTCTGCCCTGGCAAAGCTCTGGGGCTTCGTTTCCAATATTCCATCCTATTCCTCTCCAACTCATGGCCTACTGCCTGTATGGGATGGCTCTGCTAATTTCATCCTATTTGAATTCTGACTTCTCTAACCTGTACTGTATAGGTGACCAAGGTAACATCTTTTTTCTGGGCTTCTCCAAATCAAATACCTATTGAATTGTTTACTGTGTGCAGAGTTTCAGTATCTTTGGCCAGATATACAAAGAGGAGAAAGCCTTAGACTGTCCTCATAGAGCAGTAATCATTATTTGCATAGTTTAAAGCTATATTACATGCTTGTGAAAGATATGGAAAAAAATATCAGAATCCCTACTGAAGAGGGATCATTTTGGTTGGGTAAATAATTGTGTTAGCAAGATGTGGATGAGGTAAGACCCTAAGAAGTGCATGCAAGTAACAAGTAGAGGGTATGCAGTTAGCCCTTGTTAATCACAGGGTTTCATTTTCCAGAGAGCGATTTATGCAAGTTTGTGGCTGGAGTTGTATTGTATGGGAGGAGCCAGTAGTGCCAAGAGAAAGAAGCAGCTTCATGCCTGGTTCTGGATGGCAGGTAGTCCAAGGGCAACCTCAAGGCAGAAAGAAACATTGAACAGGAATTTTCATTAGAATATTTGCTGGTGTGAGATGTAATCTCCATTACTCCATGAAATCATCAATAAAGTTACTTGTTCCTTAAGGGTATGACAAAGTATTGAATCATTTTGCAAGTTTGGAATCAGAGACCTCCCACAGGCTAGATATACATAAATCATATATATTTTTTCATTTTTGAAAAATCTTTCTCCTTCTCTCTCTTGCAAATACACTGTAAGCATCCTGTAGCACTGACTGGATTTTAAATTCTCTCCCATCAGCCCTGGTTATTGAGTAGCACATCAATGAAGTAATTTCTGGATTTAGAGTTTATTCTTGCCTGATTCACCTAACATTATGCTACACCAAGTAGCCACAGGCCTGAATATGGCAAGTCATGTGGGTGACCCTTTACACTTTTTTTGAGCCCATGAACAAATAAAATAATGAATAAATAAAAGCACATGATTGAACATTTGGAAATATTGCTAACTATGAGCAAAAATAAAAATTACTTGTGGTTTCACTGGGCAGAGATAATCACAGCCAACAAATTCTCTCTCTCTCTCCATATATATTTATAGATAGAAAAGACTATATATATGTAAAATATGCTCATCATATGTTATATTTTCTTTATTTTTATATAGTCAAATTGGGTTCATAATGTTCACAAAAATCTTACTGCTTCTCCATCTGCCTCACAAGCACAAGGTCGCGAGTTCGATGCCTGGTACCAAAAAAAAAAAATTTACTGCTTCTTTGATGTTTTGATACAAGCACTTATCCTTCTTGATCATATCTTTAAAACTAATATTTCCTCATTCTTTTCTACCACAAATAATGATACAGTTAACATCCATGTATATGTATTATGGGTTTATATTAGGCAGACTTTCATTTGACACATCGAAAAGCACACTTGTATTCAGAGGTAGAATTTTGTACTTACCTGAAATGAAACTCAAAAGATACAAGCCTAGAGGACCATGTAGTGTTTCAAAGGGTTTGCCAAAAGCATTGTACATGAAGAAGGCTGTTCCCACCATGGTTAGAACAACAAGGATCGTGGAGAAGAGAATGACATTGACGTGGATGCTCACTGGAATTGCTTGCAGCAAATCTGGGAAAACTGAAGATAGACCAAGGATTAGAAGAATTTCATTATCAGTAGTCTGCAAGTATAATTTAAAAAATTAAATCCCTCTTCTTTTTTTGTTTCAAAAAATCACTAAAATCCTTTTGATGAATACATTCTCACTTACTAATTTACGAGGGGCTTGCAAAAAGATTTAAAACATAAGATCATTTTATGGAATCACCATTATAAACTGGCAGAGAGGAGATTTGAGAGAATTTTTTTCTTTCCTTAATCATATGTAATTGCTTAAATAAATAAGTGCTTGCTTTATAACTCAAAACTGTATATTTTAATGCATACTTTTAGTGACATTTCTCACCAATCATCTTTTTAAAGTCTACCTTATGTTTGGGGATATCTAGGGGAATTCAAACAGAATGGTTTTATATTTCCTGTGTTAAAAACATGGTTTCTAACTCATAGAAAGATTAAAGAATGGGGCATTTTCAGTTAACTTCAATATTTTGACGTAGCATAAAGCTATGGGAAAATAATTTCTGGTGCTACAAGAAATATTTTCCATTTAGAAAACATGCCAAATCTATTTCTAGATTTTGTGTTCAGGGCAAGTTTTTCTTGTCTGCAGAGGAAATGAAATACTTTATAAATGCAGGGCTTCTCTTATCTGGTGAGGCATCAGCATGCTTGCTGTCAGCAAAATAGGCAGGGCCAATCTCTGGAAATTTAGTTCAGTCCATTTTAGTTTTACTCACATTTATCAAGTGCTGAATTTATTTATTGAGCACCTACTAGGCACTAGGCATTGTTCTAGTTGATAGACATAGGTCTAATACAAGATAGGAAAGACCCCTGTCCTCTCAAAGAAATTATAATCTAATGAGTATAGACAGTTGGCAAGTAAACAAATAAATATGATTGCTTATCTCTGAAGATGGTCATTATCAATGCCTTTCTCACTTTTACATATGTCACTTCCCCTTTACGAGGTAGAATTTTTTTCCTCAATCCCTCTCAAGAGTCACTAGGTCTTTTAACTCCTGACATTTATTGTGCACTCCATTTTCTACATCTTCTCATAATAGGAGAAATGTACTGCTGAGAAATGCACATTAAAAGTATGAAATATCACTTTCCACAAACTATGCTTAAAAAGATCAAACCAAATATCCAGCGTTAGCTGGGGAAAGAAACCCCAGTAACTTTTTCTTGGGAATAGAAACTGGTACAACTGCTTTCAGGTAGCTGAGCATTATCTATAAAGCAGTAAAATGTACATACTCTTTAGCTCAGCTATTTTGCTTCAAGGAGTCTATCCTATGGATATTTTTGGATATGAATTCAGTAAAGTGCTACAAAGATACTCATCTTAGCATTTTTGGTAATAATAAAAGTTTGAAAATCTATATGTCTAGCAATAGTAAATCTATACAGTGGAATTTTAGTCAATGACTACAAAGAATGAAACAAATCTATAAGAATAAATGTGGAATGATCATCAGGATGTGATGTGATGTTAAATGAATAAAAGAAGCCAGATAAATAAAGAGAAATGTGTATTATTCTGCAATTTGGAGAAAAGCCAAAGGAATTATTAACAAATAATTATTTCAGCACTGTGTCTGATTTAATTCTCTCAATGCCAATCAGATAGGGGCTGTTATTAAAACTGAAGCACAGAGACTACCTACTATGCCCGAGATATACACTAAGTAAGTGGCAGAATAGAGATTTGAACTCATCCTCACTCTCACCCACCATGTAATATGGCTCCTGAGGAAAGAGACTGAGGGGCATTTCACTGTGTACCTTTTTTATGCTGTTTAGAGAATAAAAAGTTCTACCTTGCTACAAACACAATTGTTTTTGAATAATTAAAGGATAAATGAAGATATAATAAATCCCTGCAACTGTTACCGATTAAAAGAAACTTGAGGGACATATTAACAAGTACATTGTGTGAGTATTGTTTGTGGCTATGGTTTGTGACTTGAACAAATTATATATATATATATGGACAATTTTGAGAAAAACCAGGGAGCACTGAACATGACCTGGATATTAGATGATATTTTGTAATTGTTGATTATATTAATGGTATGGTGGTCATGCTTTTAAAGTTCTTATCTGTTGGGATGAAGATACAGTAAGAAAGCTCCTCAGCCCTGGACAGATGGGGTAGGGCAATGTATAAGCTAAAGTTCACAGACAATGAGCAACTGTTGCCCCGTTGGCAGGGATTGCAATGGTCCATTCTGCCCTGTCTTCCTGAGGTACAACAGTCTTGTACTTCTGGACAGATAGCTGGTCTTATGCTACGATAACCTGCTTTCTGGAATTTCCAGCTTCTGAGAAAGTTCAACCACCTCAGACTGCTTTTCTCACACTTGGTCCTCACATTTGGCTGGTGGGTTGCTTTTTACCAGCAGTTACAGAAATCCTGCTTGTATCCATAGCCTCACTGTAAAAAATGGCCTTCCCTGCCAGGGAAGCTAGTTTAAACCCTTCTACAAATTGAAGATTGTTACTGAATTGAAACAAATGCAGACAGAAGTCTCACTGATTAGCCTCCTGGAAAGAAAAGCCAGAAGCAAAAACAAATTGCTATGTGGAGTATTTTAATTCTTATGAAACCTTTTAAAATTCACACTCTTGTGAGAAAGTCCCCCATAAGGGCACTAATCCCTGAATGTTATATTTTGTCAGGGCTTTTCTTTTTTAATCAAAAATCAGAGTCTGTAATGATCATCCAGAAGCTGACAAAAATCCTCAGCCTCCTGACCAACACTAATAGAACTTGTACCTGGTTGGAGTAGAGGGCAGAACATTCAAATAAATATTGGGAAGTGACCCTTTAATGATCCTGGACATTGTGTGCCCAGGAGATAGATTCGTTTTTGTCTTTCTGTTCTTTTAGGTGTTGGTGTTACAACACAGAGAAACGATCTGAACATTTTGATCTGTGGAGGAGCTGTCATTAATCTAGCAAGTCCCTTCTGGCCTCCAGAAATCACTTGATTAGCTGTTGACAAGTGAAAGAGAGTTATTTATTTAAACAGCCATCTGATGCCACCTTAGTGTCATAGCATTAGTCTGTGTGTTCACAATTACTGTACTCTCCCTCTTTCACTTTCTTATCACTGATTTCCTCCTCTCTATGAGTCAATATATTGAGATCTCATTATGAAATCTCCTCAAGCCTCTAGTTGCCTCTCCTCTCTCCTTTATCATCAAACATCTATATATAAGTAAAAAGAATAGATCAACAATCAATAATTACATAGTATTTGCTATGTTCAAGGTAGTTTACATATATTGCATGAATGAACAGAATGCATTCAATTCTTACTACAACATGAGGAAAGGTATTATTTTATCTTTAATGTATAGAGTTTTGAAAAACCAAGGGATAGAGAAGTTAAGTAGCTTGCCTAAAGTCACACAATGGTATTGATGGCTTTGTTTTTACTCCTACCCCCTTATTTTTCGGATTAAAGTAAAATTAATACAGCAAGATAGTCTCTCCTTTTGGTTCTGCAAGATTTGATAAACAGTAAATGGATACAGTTGTGTAACCATTACCGTAGTCAAGATATAAAACAATTGCATCACTCCACCCCACCCCCCACGTAGCCCACCTCTGACCCCACCTCCTGTGTTTGTACCTTTATAAGAGTATGCCAAGCGCTTTCCACAGTGGATGAACCACTGCACCTTCCCTCCAGCAATGTAAGTGAGTCCCAGTTGTCCCATATTCCTGTCAGCACTTGGCAGGTTTTTTAAAATTGTAACCATTTAACAGGCATGTACCTTATTTCATTGTAGTTTTAATTTTCATCTCTTAAATGACTAATGAGGTCAAGCTTCTTTTTGTGAATTTATTTGCATTACATATATCATTTTTGGTAATGTTTGTTCTTATCTTTTGTGAAATTTTATTGAGCTGTTTATTGAGTTTTGAGAAATCTTTATGCATGCTAGATACAAGTCTTTTATCAGATAACAGATTCACAGATATTTTCTCCAAGTCTGTGACATGTCTTTCCATTCTCTTATCAGTGTCTTTCGAAAAGCAGTTATTATTTTTATGAAGTCTAATCTATCATTTTTTCTCTTTTATATTATGTTTTAGATGTAAAATCTAAGACGTCTTTGACTAGTGCAAGGTCACAAGTATCTTCTGTGTTTCTCCTCTTGAAGTTTTCAGTTCTAGGTATACATTTAAGTCTGTGATCTATTTTGAGTTAGTTTTGTATGTAGTACAATTTGCAGGCAAGGTCAATTTTTTTCTTTTTGCATGTGAATATCCAATTTTTCCAGATCTTAGAAATCTGAACACAGACATAGCATATAAACCAGAAATTCTAATCCTAGGATTTTACCTAAGAGAATTGAAAAGCATATGTCTACACTCAAATCTGTATGCAAGTATTTATGGTGGCTTTATTCATATTTATCAAAAAACTAGAAACAATTTAATTTCCATCAATAGGTGAATGGATAAATAAGCTGTGGTGAATTCATATAATAAAATACTACTCAACTATAAAAAGAAAGGGACTACTACTGCACACAGCGACACAGGCATTATGCTAACAAAGAAACTGGACTCAAGAGGCTCCACGCTGTATGACTGCATATACACAATATTCTAGAAAAAACAAAATGATAAGGATAGCAAATAAATCAGTGGTGACCCAGGGCTTGGAGTAGGAGAGGGTATTGGCCATAAAGGGGCACCAGGGAAATTTTCACGTTGAAAGTGGTCTGTATTTTGATTGTGCTACTTAATACATGCAGATATGAATTAGTCAAAACTCATAGATTTAAATTTTTAAAGTGGTGAGTTTTATTGTTCATAAATTGTACCTTAATATACCTTACTAAGCCAAAAACACTGGGTAGAACAAGTCCTAGAATGGGTAGGGTCTTCTAGATGTGAGAAACAGCTTCAGCAAAAGTGACCATTTGACACAGAAGGATGGGCTTAGTGAAAGAAAGGGAACCCTGAGGTAAGAGTTCCAGCACCCCCA